GGAATAATCATAGGTTAAAAATAAAAGTTCCTGTTTCCCTCCTTGTGCCTTTAATACACACTGTGCCCACATCAGACTTCAGGATCACTGATTTTTTTTGTGATAAAAAATATTAGAGAGATATAATTTAAGAAGCTTTATCAGTAAGCTTCATACAAATCAGACTAAGAATACATATTTCCAAGCTACACTCAGGTGGTGCTATGATTCAGAAATCACGGATTTCATGTTTTTCAGCTGTCAGAATGTGCACTTTTATTTGCCAAGCAGAATGTAAGTAAAATTTCAGACCATCAAATAACAAACACTGTAGAAAGCAGGGATTTCCACGTGCATCCCTTTTTTGCTACACTGGAAAGAAGAGGTCTCTAGTCATCTCAGATAGGTGGGTCACCTGATGCACTTCAGTCACCTCGGTCCCCCATGTCAGGCTTACTGGTCACTCAGTCACATAATTTACCTCGGTCCCATCAGTGCACACTTCAGTCGCCTTCCCAGGCGATAGTAAAGTGCAAGGTAAACTCCACGGAACTGGTGGAAGTTGTGCTAAACCTGCTGTTTACAAAGAAATGCTTTGGTCTTTGGACATCTTCATTTGTATTTGTGAGAGTAAATTAATCCTTTAAATTCAATCACCACTTTTAAAACCAGAATCAGTATTCACTGAAACTGTTTTGTAGGTACTGATTTACAACAGACATAAATGCAAACAGAAGACAATATTATTTGATATACTATAAAGCCAAATCAACCCACCATGTGGATGGGATGCCTCAAGCAAAAAAACCCCACCAACTAGACAGAGTAAGTTTTATGATATCAAAGCATCTAAAGAAAATGACTGTTCTCTTTGAGGGCAATTCAACATGGGACATCTCCGCTGGGTATGGAAAATCTTACTGGAGAACAGGGAATTATCTGGGCTTGCTCAGCAAGTTGAATAACAAGGACCCCAATGAACAGCTACAAAGGTCTAAAGTCACATCAACTTATATGTAGTTAATCCAGCAAAATGGTTGTGGTCACTGCATTTATCAATATGCAACTTGTATTTGCACAATGCTGTGACAATTTATCATCATAATACAGACCCTCCGATACAGCTAACATAATTCTTACCTTTCAAGCAGATAAACGTTCACTCACATTTTTTTCAGGCCCAAAGGGATGGTGGTTGTCTTGGGTGATTCTGGTGCAGCAGCAAAGCCAGCCCAAGATGAGCCACTTCTCCATTCCACCCAGTTTCTTCTCACCACTGGTTCACCTCCTCCTTATTGGAGCCAATAGAGTCATTTCTGTGACTGCTGGAGTGAAACAATCTGGGTGCAAAGTGCAACCTCTCACAAACCAACCAACCAACGTGGCAGCAATACCAGTTCAAGGCATTCATACTCCTCCTATCATACGCCTTTTGTTTCTCCTCCTGTGTTTCTGGTAGCTCTTTGTGGGACCAGTCAAACCATCAGTAACTGATAGGGCTTAGAAAAGCTACAGGACTTCTTTTCTTTATTAAATCAGACCAGCTATCTGACGATGTTTGCTCTGAAGAGTTCCTACACCCTTGCTCTGGCAAGAGGTATGAGCTGAAGCCAGGGTTACAGGAAGGAATGAGGGTGTCAGTTCTCTCAACTAGTATTGCCACTGAGAAAAGAGCATGAGGAACTGAACCCTATGAGTCAAAATGAAGTAAAAAAGGCACATGTAATTGCTATAATTAATTAATTCCAGTACCAGGCTGCCTCATTCTCAAATATGCTGGCTCCTACTGTGCTTTTCCAAGTCAAAGTAACCTGCTAATTGAGATATAACAATCAGATAGTAATGTCTTTGAAATGAACATTATCTGACAAGGAGCTAGTGACCTGTCTGGGCTGGTGTGTGAGCCTGTAAACTGAGCTTGCTGCATTCTCCATAAACTTCATCCATGTAAGGACTTGACAAAAACGCCTTTAAATAAAGCGCTGCAGCCACCTAGCCTTGAAAAGATGCAAGTGTTCAGTAACACTCTGATCACAGCCTGGAATTAAGCAAGAGCCTTCCATGTATTTGTAGATACTCCAGGAGCCAGTAAAAGACAGATCAGTTGAAGCCTCTAACACAGAAACAAACTGAATTAAGCAACAGAACAATCAGAAATCACTGAAAGGCAACAGTGATCTAAATGTCCATCTTTCTTGAGTTCGTCTTTACAAAGTTGCAGGACAGTCATTTTTGCTTGGCTCATAATCAATTCTTGCTAATGCTGTGTTCTCTGGTTCTGCCTAACGCTGATGAGATAAGGAACAAATGAGTCTATGCGCTCATTGTATTTACTGGGAAACCAGTAATCAGGACAGAGGACTCAATTCTCTGAATCCTTATTATACATGAATTTGCTAGAGTATCCCTTTAGACTGCCATAAATTATGAACAAACAGCAACAAAAATAGGAGAAGAGGAAAACAGTGTCAGTGGTAGAAAATGTGGACAGAATCAAACATAAACCTATGACGCTGCTGTATAAGGGCACTTCTAATTTTCCTCTGCTGCTGACCTCTGGGTCGCTCCTGGACCATAAATCAGGTAGCAAACCTCACCTGCCTCCTCTCAAAAATTCTCAAGTTAAGCACCTATTACTAAAAAAAGACTCTCATTTCACTGAGATTACCTGCCCATCTGGACTAATACTCTGATTCCCGCTTTTCTGAATAGTAAAGACAGCAGAGAAACCTTAGTAGTACCTCACAGCAAAACAAGTTAAGGCCAGACACTCCTATTCTCCCTTCTCTAAAGGGAATTTTCAATAGATCAGTCAGACTTTTGATGCTAGTTAACGACCAGAATTAATTTTTCATTTTCCATTCAGATACAGAACTAGCTGAGAACGAAAAATGAGGAACGCACAACATAAAATCAAAACTGGGATGAAAAACTGAAACAAAAGATTCAAAGAATGGTCACAAATGTACTTTTTATTTGCCAGGTGCGCAGTAGTTTTAGAAATGTCTCTCTGAGAGGTGTGAAAGGATTAAAAGGAGATCTAGCGTGGCAGCCTATGGGACATGTATATTGTGCGAGTTACAGTATTTTTCTCTGTCGTGTTTGACGCTGTCCGCTGTTGAGAACAGGCTGCTGGTATACGTGAACTCAGTTGGATAGTCTGTGTTCTTCTCATGGCCTGTTTTGTTAAAGACCTACTTGAGAACTGATTTATTTCTTTTGTTATTTTTAAATTCCCTGGAAAAATTCAGGCTCCTGGTTCAAGAAAAATGCATCCCATTTGTAATACTGTATAAGATGAATACACACAGTTTGTATGCTTTGAGGAATTACACATTCATTTTTTCATAATCACACTTGCAGATACTTTATATGGAAAAAAAAAATCCAAGCTCTTGATTACTGATATTTAATATCAACACGGTCACATTGGTAAAATAGCAAATTATCAAAAAAAGTTTTCTAAGCTCAGTTCTTCTGCTTGCTACAGTTTAAGAAAGATTCTTCAGGATAAAAATCTGGCACTTCTGATGTTTCCTTACACATAAAAAGAACAGCCTTGTGCCATCCTCAGTGACAGGAAGTGACAGGCCGAGCATGACATCACTCTTTATTTTTAACTGCCTGCCTTCTGGTGAATTTATTTTGCTGTCAGTAAATATTACAGCAGTGTTGGTCACATTCAGGCTTTACGGAGACAGAAGCCCTGTGCTGAATTTGATCCCAAAAGCCGGCAGTTCTTGGCTTTTGAAGGGAGAATCTTTATTTCCAAATTGGGCACAATAGATTGCATCCACAGACAGATTAATAAGAGTATGTGTCAGAGAAATGCTAAAGTACGCAAAGGTCTAGAACCACTGCCATTCCTTATGCAGTATTCAAGCACGCTGTAGCCTTAAAAATTATCATATCATCATTATTACTAAATAGTGCTACTAGTAGAAGACCAAGTTCTGAAAACCAAAGTTTTGCATGCCCACAGTAATAAGCACGACTCGATGGATGCAAGGGGAGAAAATACGTGTCTTCCTCCTAAAAAAAGAACACAGCAAGAAGTTGGGTCTTGTCTCTGTCCTTTGTTAACTCTCCCACTCCAAGTCGCTTCATTCAGGCAACTATTACAATGCCTTAAAAGAGCCTGCAAACAGCACATACACAACTTACAAACATAAGCAATTACTTATTGGCTAGTTCACACAGCAGCTGGAATTAATGAGCCACTAACAACATCCTTTGGTAAGACAACCAACCTCACTAAGAGGTTTGGTTGACCCTGCAATCATGTGGAGGACCATGAGGTTGGTTCTGTTGCTTCTTGCAACAGGCTAATAGTCCTTAGTCTTGCTCTTTCTGCCTTCCTTTCAGAAGATTTTATATGTTTTCATGCTTATGTTTTTCTTCTTGAATCTCTAAAGTGCTGATTCCACCTCAACAATTTTACCTCTGTCTACAATTTTACCTTTCTTATCTTGCATGGCTCAAGACTAAGTACCTTCTCACAACTCCTTCTCACAGTTCAGCAATTTTTGCAGAAGTCAGAAGGTTATTTGGTTGGGCTGAAAGAGAGGGGCTGCACCCTGGTAACGTTGCATAGCCCACAAATTTTGAACAGTACTGGGGAATTGTCCAGATTTCCATGTGGAGTATGTCTTCTAGATGGTATCTGCTCGTAAAATTAATTTCCTGTCACCGAATAAACCAGTGAGGTGCCTATAAGGAAATGCTATACACGTTTACGAGAGTAAGAGGCACAACATCCCTAATCACTTCCACGTTACCATTACCCAAGTAAAAACTTGAAAAGATCTCAATAGAGGGCGAGACGAGTGAAGCACGCCGAGGCCCTCTCCGTCCCGCTATCGGCCCCCCTCGGCGCGGTTACAAGCCGAACCGCAGCGTTGCGCTGCAGGCGGCAGGCGCCTGCCCGGTCCCCGTTCTCGCTGCCCGGACTCCACTCCGTTGTCCCACCAACTCCCACCGAGCGTAACCCCGCTGATAAATCAAGCGGCGACAGTGACGACATGACGTATCGGGAGGCCCAT